GGGGGGGGGGCATTTAAAAGGCCAAGGTCCCACGATATTTGAGCACCTGTTGTGCCAAATGCATCTCTCAGCATTTTGTGCACCACAGTCACCCCGCATTTATCGCAACCCATGTTTCCGGAGCTCTATACTCCCGTATAAACATATCATGTTGTTACAAATGCGTACAACTAGGTATGTTGAAGATACTGATGACAGAACCGAAGATAAGAAGAAGATCATTACTTTGCCTCACAAGTTGGAATGATATCTATTTAAGGAAATGCTAACCAGATCAAAAGCAGACAGACGAAGGATCCAATTGATGGAATTTGCTGTATTAAAGTCATATCTAAAGATTGGTGCTAAAGTCATATTGGAAAGATTCAAAACATTATAGTGCGAAAAAAAATTACCAGAAGAAGAAAATCAAAAAAAATGCTAATGAAAAAAGCACGCGAGTGCCTGAACAGAGGCAACAGTGATTACTTGTCATTAATCTAGACGGAAGCAGCAGAGGAGTTAATGACGAAGATCCAGACGGAATTACAACTAAATCAATCGACATAAACTACTGCATGTAACAACATTTGTTTGATTGTACTTAAGGCCTATGATCATTTCCACAGATGCAACGACACTGGCGACTTTTTGCATTTGTTATTAATATGATATTCTCTAAAGATGGATCTTGCATGATCCGACAGTCTGGATTTTTTATGCATAAAATGAACTACTTGAGGACCCTTGCGATGAACATTTCCTTCTGCGTACCTCTAATGCATCTATAAAGAAATTATTGTTATATTTTATTGGCCGTTCCCCTTAGCCGATACTCCATGATTCTGCTAAGCATTCATGATTTTTAATTATTAATATTCGCCTGCTGCGACCCAATCGGTTACCTGCTCAGACTTTATCTTAGTCGCAAACAGCTAGTAACTCAAAAAAGTAAAATCTTACTGTAACACTTTCCAGGCACCGCAGCAGATGGTTGTACTGGATCTCAAAAATGTCGTCTACTTTTAATTCGCTTGGCGATAACAGCCCTTGCTCGTATTCCTTGAGACGGGCTTCATGAACTTTTCTCTTCCTGGCAAGTGCCTGAGCAGACGTCCGCTTTACCACTTGTATTCTCGCTAGGCGTAATTTCTGAAACATTAAAACTTGTATGCAAATGTGATGAAAATTTCACAAACAGAATGAAGCCTAAAATCTTAAATAAATGCAAATTATGTTAAACTAAACACGACTGAGACTCATAACTCCGTCTCAAAAGAAATGATCAATTAGGAGCATTGAAAGTCAATGAATGACGCCGCAAGAAGACGGGCTTGTCAGTCTCGTGGTTGGCCTGTGCGAACTGGGTTCTGCTGGACCGCAAATTTCGTTCCGTCGTCCAAGAAAACGTCAGAGCAATCCGGTGGTAAAATTAATTGGTAAGCGATGTTGGCTGAAAACGGAGAACAGGGAAAGCTGGAAGAGCGCTGACCTGCGCTCCAGGAGAACAGATGACAAAAGGGGGTCGGATAACAGGCAATGGACAAACATAGGCAAGGTTTCAGTTGTAGATGTAAATGCCCAAACGGTAACAGCTCATATTCTGGTTTTGGCGTGCACACCTTCTCCAGGTAACGTACAACGTACGTTTTCTAGCTGATACCGGCGATTAATAAGCAAATCGAACAGTTCACGTGATAACTTTCCTATCTTTGACAATGTTTTTATGAGAACAATTGCATATTGTGATCGTTACTCTCTACCTTCAATTTATAACATTTTATGTCAGTGAATACATTCGTTCATTTGATTATTCTTTTTCGAACCAAACTCTTTTTTTCAGATTGAGAGGCGAGCGTTTCAGAAGAATTCTTCTATGGTTATGACTTTCTTCAAACGGGCCAGCTTCATGGATTAGATTTCAAGGCATAACGAAGCCAAGTGCATAATATGATCGAATTACATGCTACTCTATCGTTTTAAATGTCATTCTCTCAACAGTGTCTTGGCTCCTTGGCAAGCGTACCTTACGAATTTTCCTCTCTGCTTAAACCAACCTCTGAATCGTCGAATCGGCTACATTAAACCCAGTCACAACTCACTCGTTACCTTGGATTGCGGTGTTTGCTCTCACAAACAATTGTCAGAGAAACCTCATTTCTGCTAACAGTGAACAAGCAAATATATTTTTTGTTGCCGGAAGTTCTTCAGATTTTCAACAGCATTCTCCATGAAAGAAAGAAGACTGTTCGATGAATGGACTGCGAGTTAATGCTTAACATAGAACACTACATGTGGGCATTGCGTCGCCCCCTGTCGTTGCTTATTCGACAGCCGATCTGCACGATGGCTATTATTAGCTTCGGTCTGCTCTCTGTGATTCATTATCAACCTTCAAATTACCTACAGAGGATAATGATTAAAGTACGGGATCAACGGCAGAGCTATGTACAATAGGGTATATACTACTGGACAGCAACGGGTAGACCTGTCATCAATCTTGTAGTGATCAGGTAATGAAATTTCGACATTGAGGGTTGCCATATCTTCTTGTGGCCCCTGAAATATCTCAGGAAACTGCATTTTCGTTAAAAAAAAGAATTGACTCGGTGTTAATGACCAATTTCTCCTGAGCAGAGGTAACTCCTTAGATCTAGAGATCAAGAAAAAGTTTGCCCTGATCGACAAACTGACTAAGCATGAACCATAGAAGAATTCAGAGAAAATTATTTCCTTCTGCAATGCCGTAACCGGTGCTGTATGGCAGAGTGCTGAAAAACTGCGAATTCCCGGACCATGGACGTTCTCTGTTTGTTCATGCAGCTCAGTGCAATGGTCTCAATAAAACACAGATTAAATTGAAGGCTAATAAAATGGAGATAGTGGTAATGTTAACATGAATTATTGATTAAAATGTAATAAAATTATGTCACGGTGCTGCTTATCTGTTCAGCAGAAAATTACCTACTTATGATCTAGAAGAACAGAAGATCTCAAAACTGTTGTCTTGTTGCATTAGGAAATGGAAAGAAATTAAAATTTGTTGTCGCACTGGAAAATCAAGACTTAAAAGTTCCATCATAGCAGAGTCAATCAGAATTACCCGTTATAGTATTTATCCATCTAATCAACGGATGATCAGTTTGCCATAGTTCTTATAACACCTCTAATTTTGTGCGATCTTCATATAGATTCAAATGTGTTCACTTTGTCAATTGAAAGGCATCATCTGGTCACTATAGCCTTGGTGTCGAGCTAGCTATATGGCTTTCTTTTCAACCATCTTCGTTCGCCATTGAGTTTCTGTCCGTACTGCACACAGTGA